GGGTGGGATAATCTGTCCACCAAGTTTAAAAGCAAGTTTCCACGGCAAACCGCCGAGAGAAGACAATTGCAGAGCTCATGACCCTGCAGCAAGGGGAGACAGAGAGTCTCCGAGACTACTTGACTCGTTTCAGCAACGAGTCATCTGGCATAACCAGCCTTGACCAGGAGTTGGTCGTTTTTGCTTTACAGCACGGCCTACGAACTGGACCGTTCCTTGACTTCATGGTCATGCATATCGCGCACACCTTGGAGGAAGCTCTCAAATTGAACCCCAAAGTTGCTCCATTGTTAAACCCAACTACTGTTGCTCGAAGACACCTATCATTTTGCGTAACCAGCCTTGACCAGGAGTTGGCCGTTTTTTCTTTACATCACGGCCTACGAACTGGACCGTTCCTTGACTTCATGGTCATGCATACCCCGCATATCTTGGAGGAAGCTCTCAAATCGAACCCCAAAGTTGCTCCATTGTTAAACCCAACGAACTACCATTGCTCGAAGACACCTATCATTTTGGGTCTAATTTATGTTTTTGTTTCTCTCTCCTCCATCTACCCAGATTTGAGTAAAAGCAGTAGATCATTTATTTTCCTGTCAATTGGAGTTCTGCAACACGTTTTGTCTAAGAAATGGAACCAATAGGGTCCAGCTCGGCTGCAATATTTTATCAATACTTTTCCAAAATCTAGCCTATTATTTACAAGAATGCCATGATATCAACATTCTTTGTTGATATCTGATAACAAATACATAAAATTGAATCATATTAGGGTTTCCTTCATCAAAGCTACGATCGTTGAAAAAATCTTGCTAACAATTTGTTGTAGCCGTAAGGATGATTTTCATCTGATTCACTTTAACGTATTTAAAAACATGACAACCGTTGCGATCCCGAATAAATCTTTACCAAAGAACTGGCAATAGGGCAAAAGATGATTATATTTTTTATAAACCCTAACACACAAACAAACCCTAAACATAAACAAACAACTAAACCAACAAAACTAACGACTCCACCATAGGAAGACACTCCACTATAGGGAGACAGACGTATCCACACTTACTCGTGTAGATTTATTGAAACCTAAATTGCAAAACTAAAGAAAATTTAGGGAAAAGAGTCGAAAGTAGTCTAATTTCTGAAGAAATTAGATTATTTCAGGTCTAAACGACCAAGATTTTGGAGAAACCGTAGAAGAGAGGAGGAGAGAAGAGGAGAGGAAGAAAGTATTTGTTTGACTTGTTATTATTATTATTATTATTATTATTATTATTATTATTATTTTGATAGAAAGCATAAACTTTGTATCATTGTATGACTTAGTTTAGAACATAGGGGTCTGGTCTTCTGGACTTATTTTGTTCCCCACTATTGCCCGTGGCCAACATGTGTATCACACCTTCTCTTTTTTTTTTTTTTTTTTATTTATTTATTTATTTATTTTTTATATTTTTTTTTATTTGTGGATGAAATATATTAATAATTTATGGAAAATGTTATACATAGCCCTTAAGGCTACATATAAGCACTAATTTACACTTTAAAATCGTAAAAAGTTAAGAAATCATCAAAATATAAACACAATTAACACTGATTTACGCGTGTTTTTGTCATGAATTCCTAATTTTATACAATTTCCATAAGTATATTTAATGCTTATATATAGCCCTTAGGGCTACATATAACATTACCCATAATTTATTATTCTTATAAAAATACTTGGAAGTGTAAGTGACAATTTCCGTCTCATTGTACGAAGTATAATAATAACGAGATTGCCCGCCAACTTAAAAGTCATTGATCCATTTAAATTCATTATCAATTTATTTAATTATTTATTTATTCATTATAAATTGTTAATTTGGGTTCATTGGCATGTATAAGATTTAAAATTCCTACCTAATTTAACAAGTAAGCAAATCAGTTTAAAATATTTCATGAAGATTACCAAAGAATTTTTTCACTTATGTTAAAATTTTATTCCTTTACAAAGAATACTTTACGAAATAGTTACTAGTTAGGCACGATAATTTTTAAGGAAAGATTGTTAATGATACACCGTATGTAAGTGATAGTTTTTTTTTAAAAAAAAAAAATAAAAAATTAATTTTGTTCATATAACAATTTTCTTTGAGATTTTTTTTTTTTTTTTTTTTTTTTTTGTCGTTTTATTGTACAGTATTATACATCCGTTTCTTTTTAATTGACACATATTTCTTTTTATGAAGTTTTTTTTTTCTAGTTGACACATTTCATTTTAGGGTAAGTTTTTTACCTTGCATTTACAAGCTACCCCACTTGTTTTATCATTCTCTCTCACTCTCTCTCCTCTCCTTAATATACGTGCTTAAATCAAACGCGTCAACTAAATAGAAATGGAGGAAGTATTATGTATGGGTAAGTAACTAAGTATTAAATGTGGCTAGCCACACATATTATTCATAAGATAAACTAGCTACATATTACTAGCCACACGGTATGGTCACATTACTTTATAAGAGTAATATTCATTAAAATGTATAATTTTATTTTTTATTATTTTTCCCGCTCAAGAGGGGCAAGGCCCCAAATAAAAAACAAAATAAACTACGGGGGGAACAAATCGTGGTATAGCCACACCAATCATGTAAAATTCTCCCTAAGGTTAAAGGGGGGACTTGAATCAACTCCGTAGAATTGTTCTTCATTAAAATATATAAGTAACCAATATACTCATAATTGTAACTCCATATATTTGTTCGAGTAACCACTATTTTTTTATTTTAAAAAATGAAAGAATAATTACACTTATTTAAGAGAGTAACTCATTTTTTTCATTTAAGTAACTTACATATACGTTAAGATAACCCCATTTGCTCAACACCGTGACCATATCAATCAATATCAATATATATTATTAAAATCTATGGCAAGACATGCTATTTTGCCATGTGTCACCAATTTTGCCATTTGGCATATATTGTGACGCCACATCATACAAATTCATGAGGTTATATAAACGGAGGGTTGAGAGAGATGTAGAAGTATCTCGCAGGGGTAAATTGGTCATTTTATGTGGGATTTAAATTTTGCCCTTTTAGATTCAGTGGTACAAAATACACTTTTAGTGGTACAAAATATAATTTTAGTGGTATTTAAAAAAAGGTTCAAATGTCTAATTAGACTGTCAAATAACACTATTACAGCTCAGTGGTACAAAATACACTCCCAGTGGTACTCAATGCGGTTTCAGTGGTACTTATAAAAATCCTCAGTGGTACAAAATATACTCTCAGTAGTTGTGGTCCCAGTTTTTTTTGTCGTTTTTGCACGTGAAACCATTTCTGAAAATTTTTTATGGGGCCCACACCACATTTTTCACTCTTCCTATATCTCTCCTCCTTTCTCTCTCTTCTTTTTACTTTTATGTTATTTTAATGGTTGTGAGACATTAACATTTGTCTCACAACCCTCCATTTGTACTTCCTCCAAATTCATTAATGATTGGAAACTCAATATATGCATAACCTCAATACATTAATGTTTTGTTTAATTGAAAAACTCTTCATATACATAACACTCTATTTAAATTTCGTCCCTAACTTGGAATGTAACTCCTTATAATTGCATAATAATAAAATTTGTAAGAAACTAAACATTGCTCCATTTATTTATGCATTAATTCATAAGATTGTAATTATAGAGTAAAAATTTTGATTTATATATTACAATTGTAATTATAGAGTAAGTTTTTAGGGTGCATTATGGAGTACTGTACTCGTAGAATATATATTGACATTTATACATATTTGATTTATCAGTTACATTTTTTTTTCACATTGGATTGATTTATCATTTACTCTATATGGAGGGTCAAACCACCTCATACAAACAACTAACTACTTAAGCTTATCATATTTAAAAAAAAAAAAAGGCTCTTAATCTCTCAATGACAAACAAGCCAAAATATATATAGTTAAATTAAAGTAATAAATTTATAATGACCCGGGCATCGTCCGCGCTAATAACTACTTCTTTTGTTCTTTTTTACTTGATCTGTTTCTTTTATCACGCTGAGTATGTATGTACGTATGTGGTATGTCACCCGTATAAGAAAAAGAAAGGGGTCCACAAGTACTACGAGTTTATCCTAAAGTTTGCAGATTCCAAATTAAGATCATTTTACATAAATGACTGGATTTGGAATTTCTGAATTTCATTCTTATACAGGGGCTAAACGTCATATTCAATTTTTTTGTTTTAGGATTATCAAGATTATAATCAGTAGTACAGAATATAGTGCAAAAAAAGTAAAAATAAAAATAAAGTGCAAATCAGTAGATTCAGTATTCACTTTTAGCAAACACTTCCTTACCATATTTATTTTAAAGTTGCAAAATTTGTTCCTTAAAAAAATTAAAATAATAAATAAAAAAAATAAAAAAAAAAAAGCAAAATTTGTGTTTTTTGAAATTTAATATTTACCTCTATTTATTTTAATCATAAATTTATATAATTTAGAATTTCCAAATGAGTCATTTTGGATTTAATTTAATTGTTAACCAGTTTGTGATCAAATTAAATCAAATTCTGAATTGGGTCATTTTATAAGTTTTTTTTGGTGTTTAGAGAGTCACAAGGGCGGGGGTGAGAATCGATTCCAGGATCTCCTGAAATCGGGAGGGAAGCTCTAACCACTTGAGTTATCCCTCACTCTCGGTCATTTCATAAGTTGAGTTGCTTGGACTTGGATCATTTTTAACATGTAATACAAATAAAATATGTGTCGATGATAAAATTAATTGGACGAGTAATAATTATACATGTGCAATAAAATAACTACACAGCAAAGTATGTGAAATACTGAAATGTAAAGTATGTGAAGTGTTGAAGACTTTGAAGTTGAGTAGTAGTGTAGTACCAACTTAAAAGTAGGACAAACTTAACAGCCACTAGATCTCATAACTTCACAATTTTAACTAAAACAACATTGACAAACAATGAAACAAACGTGTCAGTTCAAGCAACAGGAAACTACAATCCCTTCTTTAACTCCCATTACTTCAAAAATATCTTCAACTCAAGTTAATCTTTTTTCTTATTCTAATTCTACCCCTTACAATCTCTCCAAATTTACACTTTTACCCCTTTCTAATCCTCATCATTAGTAATTACGGAGTATCAAATAATACAAAAAAAATATTATCTTCTCTCTTTTTTTTTTCTTTTTTTTTTTTATTAAAATTACTTAACTGCCGGATTGACACGCGGCCTTTTCTCCTTATTAGCGTGAAGCCTAGCCGCTCTCCGTTCTCTGCAAACCTGATCCTGATCCTTGTACTCCATATTAAGATCAGGTATCAACCGTTGATTCTGATGATGTGGAATCAACGGTGCTGGATAATGCATCTGCATTGCACCACTCGCTGCAACCGCATTCACTGGATCATTCACCATTCCATGATGATTGAGAATCAACGGTTGAGATTGATTATGATATTGCTGGAATTGTATACCCCAATTATTACCAGTGTTTAGTTGATGATGAAGTGGACTCGCATGTACCCAATCATTACTACCACCACCACCGTTTGATTGAAAAACAGGAGAAATCAACGGTGGTCGTTGATCATAAGATGGAATCAACGGTGGTTGATGGTGGTACTCACTGGATGTAGATGGAATCGCATGTACTCGATCATTGACTGCTGTAGTTGTTATTTGTTGGTGTTGTTGCTGTTCCATTCGAGTTGTTGTTGTACATGCTGGCATTACTAGCTGTAAAAATTTTGAAAATAAAATAAATAAATAAACAAATTAGGGTCCCACCTTCCAGTTGAAAGATTAATTTATTGGGAAAATAAAAGAAATATACAGAGATAATCTTTATGATAATTTTAGTTCTGTATGTAATTCATTATGTTCATGGAGTTTTAATGAAATAGGCGGTGATAAAATTGACTCATATCCGATTATAATGAATAAATCAAATTACCCTAATTGAGACTCGCATTCGACTTTGCGACTTAAAATTAAAAAAAATAAAATATTACCTCGTGCTTTCTAGCCTTCAAGATTGAATTTTCAACCATTAGCGAGTTACGATATTCCCTCACCTTGTCGACGGACTGCACAATAATAAAATTTTATTACTTAATTTTACACAAAGAATCAATTTGTCACATTTATAATAATATTAAATAAAAAAAAGAAAAAAATTAAATAAATAAAATAAAAACTCACCTCTTTGAGACGCTGCTGTGTAACCATTTTTTCCTTAACGCTATCTTCCAATTCCTTCTTCCTCTTAAAAAAAAAAAAAGAATTTATTTAAATTCAATTAATAACAAACACGAACATTATCATTATTAATTTAATAATAAAAAACAGGAATTAAAATATTAAATTAAATTAAATTAAAAAGTAAGAAACATACCAAATTCAAGGGAGGATGTTTTTTCTTCTTAAAATCGAGATCAATAACAGACTTGGAATCAGACTCACTAGGAGAGAAAGACAAAGGAGTATTAGGACTAGAAGCTTCAGCCTTAACCGGTGGCGGCAGTTGAGCAGACACTTTTCTTCGACAACGCGGCGGCGAATACGACGGAGGAAAAACAAGCGCAGATCTTCTCTTCTTTGACCCCCAATCATATGGAAATCGATAACTGGGAAGTGTGTTTGTAATCAGATACGGTAAGTCGAGTAAAACATTGGCCACTTCAATTTCATCATCACTCAATGTTCCATCAGTGTTATTGTTGCTGCTACTAATCGCCATTGTTTGTTAATGATGGTAATAATAATAATATTATTATTAATAATGGGATTTAGTAATTATTATTAATATTATAAAAAGGGAGGAATTAAATCGTTGTTGATTAGGAAGAGAGAGAGAAGATGAAGAGGTTTATTTAGGAGAGGAGAGGAGAGAGAAAGTGAAGGAAAGGAGGTAGGAAGTGGGTTGGAGGAAGGAGAGGAGAGATGTTTATAGTGGAAATCTAGGGACTCTTTCTATGATTGACACGTGTTAGGGTTTTCTTTATGACTTTTTTTTTTATATGACGGTCCTAATTTCGGGGTCGCCGGCGAAGAGACAATCTCTTGCCTTTTTTTTTTCTTTCCAAAAATATAGTACATAAAAAAAATGAAAATTAAAAATTGAAGAGAGCTTGTATGATGTTTTTTTTTCCCTTGTAGCGGAAGACAAATGAGGTGAAATGATCTCATTTTGCAAGAATTTTTTTTCTAAAATGATCTTTGTTAAAAAAATCACCGCGCTCACTTTTTTTGTTTAATGAAACCCGCACCCTCTTTTCCGGTTGACTATAGTTTTTAGGTGTTGACTCGTTATTCTCCCTACTTGCAGCCTATTGTTGGGTAATTTAACCTCCTTTTTTCTGCTCCCTAATCTCCCCTCCATAAATAACCTACGACAAAGCTTAGCTTCCCAATTCAACTGAAAACAAAAAAAAATTAAAAATAAAAAAATAGGGCAAACATCCCCAAATCAAATCAATTGAAAGATAAATTAGAGTTCTTATTCTATTTCTTCCACAATTGTAGTGATGACTTCACCATTGTAGTGCTCACTCCAGCGTTCTTCTCTTTTTTGCATATGTTCTCTTCTTGTGCGTTCTTCTCTCATCTCTAATAGTTCTCTTCTTGTTCATTCTTCTCTCTTCTCTACAAGTCAACAAATTCAACAATCCATCAAAGTTTATTGGTTTGGTATTAATAACACTGTACAAAATCACCAACAACAAGCTACAATTAGGTTTATTTTAAGTCCAATTTTTTAGGAGAGAACCCTAATAACTTATTTCACAAAATTTATCCAATGGAGTACGAAATTGAAGATCTTACCTTAGTTTGTACTTAACTACGTAATCAGGAAACCTTGATTTACGCCCAAATGACCCTTTTCTTTCTCCTATAGCCACATTGACAACACCAACTACATGAGTTTTTCAATTTTGTTAAAAAGGCCCCAATTTTTATAATTTCAGCAGTAATAATCTGATTAATTTACGTACACTTACCTTAGATTAGTATTGCAACATTTATGGTATGCAACAGAGGAGAGAGAGAGAGACTCAAATTGATGTGATAGTAGAGCAGAGCATTCATGGAAGCAAGGAAAGAGAGAATATAGGGGGGCATTAACTTTGAAGGGGAAATAAGAGGGAAACAAAACCATGGAGTGCAAATATAAAAAGACTTGGGTGTTAGTAGAGAAAATAAGGAGTTAGAACCTGAAACTAGAGTCAATGTCGGAAAAAGGGTGTTTGTTTTATTAAGCGGAAAAAAACAAAAAAAGCGATTGTGGTGATTTTAAAAAAAAACAAAGATCCTTTCAAAAGGTTTTTTCTTGCAGAATGAGGTCCTTAAATGGTTTTTTTTATGACTAATTTGTCTATTTATAATGGTAATGTTGAAGGTTTTACAGTTTTTACACGGTCACTTAACTTTCTAGTTCTTCTTTGATTTATCAAATGATACTTGATAAAATTTTCTAAAAATAAAAAGTGATAATATTATAGTATTTTTTTTTGGTCAATTAGCCACATTGGTATAAAAATTAACACCATTGCAACATATCTATATCTTTATCTATATCTATATCTATACTTCTATTTAAAAAACACAAATCACAAATCACTCCTATGCCACATGTCACTATATAAATCACTCATATGCCACATGTCACTATAAATCACTCCTATACCACATGTCAGTATGTCACCTCTCCTAATCCTTTTCTTTTTTTTAAAAAAAAACTTTTTAATATCAAATTAACTTAAAATAAAATAAAGCTAAATTCCTTATGCATTCTGGAACTTGTAAATTTAAATACTCTAAGAAAATAAAGTGTTTCATTTCCACCATAATAAATTAAAGTCGAACTAATTAGTACATATTAATGAACATATGAAGTACAATAAAAAATAATGTTTTCATATCCTAAACTTAAAATATAACTTAAAACCAGTATATCATTTCATATCCCACAATATTCATGTATATATACCTGACTAAATTCTTTCATCTTCTTCTAATTCCTCCCTTATTCTCTCATTGTTTTAAGTTTCAACAGTGATGAACTTCATTCACCTTAATGGTCATGAAACAATTACTTCGGTTTTTTATATCAAAAGTTTCAACTGTTGAAAAATAAACATGCCTACTATAAATTAACCTTAGTAACAACATGTGCATCAAACGGGCCAAAATGCTAGTTGATATAACTGGGGACATATTGGTATAAAAGTTAGCTAAATGTAACATATTGGTATATATAAAAGTTCACATAAGATGAGAGATTGGTATAAAAATTAGTAAACAACGTAACGACAGTTAGCCTTTTTTTCCTTTTTTTTTTTTATGTTCAAATAAGTGTGTATCATATTAGTTTTAAACTAGGTTAGGTTCCGTGCAATAATGCACGGTTGTTAAAGTTCCAATATATATCATATTATTATAAAATAAACTCTTGCTATATAGTTTTTGTACAATTAAGGCAATTTACGTTTTAGCCAATTTATATTTACCTTATTAAAAAATTACATTAAATAAATTTTAACCAAAAAAAATAAAAAATCAAATCTAAAAGATACACCAGGAGATGACACGTGTCATTGCTAGTGTGTCTTTTAGTATATATTATTGATTATTGATTGATTATTGATTTATAACTTTTTTCCTTAGCATTAAATATTATTTAATTTTTTTAGAACTCTAAAAAGCAAAGAACAACCAAGAATTTAAAAAAATGAAATCAAATTAAATAATGTAAAATTCATGACAATGCAAAAGATTTATTCAAGAAAAATTGCAAGATCAAGATTTAATTACATATTTTTGGCTTTAAAATGAGCTTTCAATTTTTTGCAGTATAAAAGGGTATATAAATAATGATTTCGTTCCTGATTTCTAATTTTTATAACCTTTACGCTAATTTTAACTAGTTTTAAGTTTCAAGACATGTAATCTTAAGCCTTCTCTAGAATAATTCTCACTTTTAAACACAATTAATTATAATTATAGTACTAGTTTTGTGCTCGGACGATGCACAGATGATATGGTTTGATAAAATTTTTAAGATAACGTTTTTACTTGAATGTTAAATACGGTCAAATAATTCGTTCGGATGTTGGATATTTAGACATAAGATATCATATGGAGTGTACTTTGTATATTTTTGTTTGTAAATAGATATATATCTATGTTATTATTGACTTGAAATTATTTTTATTGAACTTTAATTAGTTATTTTCATTGAACTTAAAGAACGTATTTTTATTGATTAAAACTTCTTTTTACTAATTCTTTAATATTTTTAAAATAAATGAAATAACAATGCATTTTGTATTTGGCTAACCACGTCATCTGACAGACTAGCCAGAAAAAGTAAACCCTATAAAATTGATCGAGTAACTCATGTAATACTAACTGAATAAATGCTAACACTAACTGCTTGTTCACATTTACTGAATTGAATTGTACTAAATTGAGCTGAAATGAATATTTTATAAGAGAATGAAATTAGGAGCTAAACTAAACTGAAATGATTGGAGCTGAACTGAAATTAAGCTGAAGTGAACATGCCCTAAGTAACTCCTATTTATAACACATATTGAGTAATTATTAAAATACTTACCAAGTAACCCCTATAGCACTAACGAAATAACTCTTGTAATAGTTGGTGTCACGATTTGGCCAACTACATATAAAAGTTTGTCATTAAATATATTATAAATGGATTTTTATTTTAAAGAACTTTATAAAACGAATTTATGATGGAAAATAGACTAAATTTATGATTAATTTTGTAAATGCGAAATATTAGAATTTTATCGAAAATAAAACACTATGCAACAATTTTATGTTAAAAAATCTATCAAAAAATTGCTTACTTAGCATCATAAGTGTCACAATAATGCCTATTTAATACGTGGCAAATACTAAGTGTAGTTGTTTCGTGGCCTGACTGCAAAACCAAATTTATTTATTAGCGATAAACTAAAAATTATAAACTAAAAATTAAAAACAAAAAAATAATGATAAAGTAATTTAGCTATTTTTTTCATTGGAAATAATTCAGCTACTTTCTACTTCGACAAATACGCCAATATAAGCCGTGTTTGATCAATACTCATTCTCCCACACATTTTCTCCTCTTCCCCATTCTATAGAGTTATCACTTTCTCTTTCTTTTTTCAATTCCATTTTTTGAGAATTCTATTTGATCTTACAAATTTTGTTGTCATTATTTGTTTTCATAAGAAAATAATATAGATGTTAGAAATAATAATAATAATAATAATTAATTAATTAATTAACTAATTATTATTATTATTATTATTATTATTATTATTATTATTATTATTATTTTGAATGGATTATTGTTATTGTTGTTGTTGTTGTTGTTATTATTATTATTATTATTATTATTATTATTATTATTATTATTATTATTATTAAAGCCGATATATAATCCGGGCTCCCACTCCTCTAGCTATAGCAAAGTCTACCCTAGTGAAGATATGAGCTGCCGCACGAGCCCTAATGTCTTGCGTCGTCGAGAACCTCTAAACCCGCTTCGGCAACACAACATCCTCCTTCTCTAATTCCCCAAGAGAAGAAAAGGAGAAGGGAATGAAACCATATCCAATCGTCCGACAACAAGCTTCGTACGTAACCCGCTTCCAATGAGCCGCATCATCCACAACCTGTCCAGGAACAAAGTTATTAGCTAGCCCTGCTTGTGTCAAAGGAGAAGACACTGTGAAGTCGACACATACATCATGACCACGATCCCATGAATAAAGTAACACATCGGCAGGTCTGAAGGCCCTTCATTCCCTCTAGATAATCCTATGTCAACCTCCTTTCTTGCTGAAATCCCAGATCTGTAGCAAATATGATCAACAAGGGTACCTTGAACAACATTATGCCGATATTTAATACCCACAATACTAGCACACGACACTGCGTGGTCACAAAAAATAACCCAGTAAAAACCTGAGAACAAGCAGAGCACGGCGTCGAGACAGAGAACAATGGAAACCCCACCCGGTAGCACAACACACATCGGTATGTCTTCGCGTTCATCGTCTGACCCAACCTAGAAATAAGGACAACCCGTAGCCAAGCAGAGGTGTCACAATATTAAAAATTAACACCATTGAAACATATATGATTAATTTATGAATAATTTTGTATATACGAAATATTAGAATTATTTATTATTATTAATTTTGTATATGCGAAATATTAGAATTTTATCAAAAATAAAACTATATGCAACATATTTATGTTTAAAAATCTATCAAAAAATTGCTTACTTAGCATCATAAGTGTCACAATAATACCTATTTTATACGTGGCACGACACTTGGCAAAAAACTGAAATACTAAGTGTAGTTGTTTCGTGGCCTAATTGCAAGACCAACTTTATTTATTAGTGATATATGATATAAACTAAAAATTAAAAAAAAAAATAATGATAGAGTAATTTAGCTATTATTATTATTATTATTATTATTATTATTATTATTATTATTATTATTATTATTATTATTATTATTATATTATTATTATTATTATTATTATTATTATCAACAGAAAACCTACAAAGTAAATCAATTTACAAGAAATTGGTGGGAAGCCGAGATACAATCTGGGCCCCACCCCTCTAGCTATAGCAAACTCGATCCTGCTAAAAATGTGAGCAGCTGCACGAGCACCAATGTCTTGCGTCGTCGAGAATTTTTAAATCGCTTCAACAATGCAAAAGCCTCTTTCTCTAATTCCCCAAGTGAAGAAAAGGAAAAGGGAATGAAACCATATCCAATTGCCTGACATCGAGCTTCATACTTAACCCGCTTCCGATGAGCCGCATCAGCCACAACCCGCCAAGGAATGAAGTCAGATAGCCTTGACGGTGTCAAAGGAGAAGACGCTATCAAATCAACACAAAAATCGCGACCACGATCCCAGGAATAAAGTAACACATCCGCAGGTCTGAGAGCCTCGTCGTTCCCTCCAGACAACCCAATGTCAACCTCTTTTCTCGTTGAAATCCCATAACGATAGCAAACATCAACAAGGGTATCCCGAACAACATTATGCCGATATTTAATACCCACCATACCAGCACACGACACCGCGTGATCACCGAAAATATCTCCATCAAAACCTCGAACAAGCATAGCACGACGCCGAGACAGAGAATAATGGAACACCCAACTGATAGGATAACACACATCGATAAGTCTTTGCGTTCATCGTCTGACCCAAATTAAACCTAAAATAGGGACGGCCCGAAGCCAAGCAGACGTGTGATCTCCCTGCTGAGATTTCCACAGTTGAGGAGATAATGAAAAGGAGGATTCTGCAAAAGCGGTAACCTTCGTGAATTATATATCTGCCAATTTCTTCATGAGTTTTGGGACAGCAACCTCACTAGGATTACTAAAAAAATCAGACTCCACTGTGCCATTAAACAGACTCAATGCATCTTTAAAAGCTTGACCAAGACCAACAATGTCAGCATGCCGTAGAAGCTTCGTCTGCACCCAGCAGACTGTAATCGAGAAGCAAGAAAAAATAATGCCGAACATCACTTGCGGAATAAACACCAAGCCCTCCAAACGCAAATGGTAAGGTGGCAAGCCGCCACTGCCAATCGCCAAACCCAGGCCCTGAAGCAGTAACAATACGCTCCAAGGAAGAACGAAGAGCCTCGTCGAATGTGCGCTGAGCCACCTCAAAAATACTAGGGGGACAAGTACGCAATGCAAAGTAGAGTTTCGAAACTCCGGTACACGCCCTAAGTAACAACAGCTCACATTGTGGATCATCCAGCATAACAACCTTATCCATAAGCGCAATGGTCTTGGTCACCCTATGCATCACAAGCTCACTACTAAAACTGGAATCAGAACTAGCGGGACCACCAAGCAACTTAACACCACGCAAAGGTCGAGCAATGATATGTTAGGTGGAAAGACACCCACAAGCCTGCTTCGAGGGTCTTATGTAGGCCAAATTCTTCGGTTTTTTCCACGTTAAGATTTTACCCAAACCGAGGCCCTTCCTCCATAGTTAACGACAGAACCTTTCCCACCACCAACGTGTAATACCCCGTATTTTCATCGTATTTTCCTAATTAATTAATTAATTATTATTTTTTAGAAAGGGTATTTTAGTAATTCAACTTACTATTTAGATCTTGGAGCCAAAATGATATTTGAATTTTGGCGCCAAAAATATTTTAAAAACAAATTATTATTTTGGATAAGATTTATTATCCATTTATTTTATTTTAAAAACCAGATTATTTATATATTTCGGATATTTTAATTAAGGCAAAAGCTATATTTTATTATTATTATAATAAGGTGCGAAAATCTCATTTAATGGACTAATAATTTCGGATTTCCTAGGGTGAAAATCTGATTTTATTAGTTAAATTATTTGGTGAATAATTGGTATTTTATTAATTAATTATTTTATACAATAAATATTATTTATACAATTATTTTTAATTCCCTAAAATTAGCAAAATAATTTCCTAAATACTAAGAGGAGGGCCGAAAATATGAGATTAGGAAAGCTCAAAAATTTCGGCCACCCCAAGTGGATTCTAGGAAAATTGTTTTGGTAATTTGTATTTTTAATTATCTCCTTAAAATCTCTAATTTTCCTAAATTTTAATTCTCCATCTTTTTAATATCTAATCCTCATATTTTCTTTCCATTCATTATCCTTGATTATTCTCCAAGTAATCCTTCTTACCATATTAATTTTTCATGACATACATACTTTCCATATTCAATTATCACAATCTCTCCAATATCAAAACTTTCCTTAAATCTTTACTCACTTCTCCAAGTAATCCCTTAAAGTCTTAAACCCTACTTACCATAATTCCTCCTATATTTTCCTACGTAATTCTTGTATAATCTAGCCTATAAATACCCCTTCATACCTCTCACATTCTTCACACCAATTATCTTCTTTTCTTCTCCTCAATTTTACACCAATCATCCCGTTTATCTTAGAAGCCAATTTTCAGGAACTTCTGTTCAGTTTTGAGGTATTGAAGTCTCACAAAAAAATGTTCCTCTCAAAAAATCCTTGAGTTTAGGCTCAAGAATCACCCAATTTGGAGTTATATCGCAGGAGTTATAGCCTCTGCAAGTTCTGTCTACTTTTTCCAACGCAAATCCAATTCTTCTTTCTCCTTGGTTTCTTATCTTTCTTCTCCTTTTTCTCTTATTCAATTATTATTATTATTATTATGGGAGATTTATATAAAAATTATTATTATTAGTTTTAAAATCATATTTTTTTATAATGTTTATGTTGAATTAATTTAAAAGGTTCATGTACATATAGTTGGGAGGGTTTAATTTAATTATTTGTGATTATTTGTTAACCTTATACTATTAATTAAGGTTATATTTATTTGTAGGATGTTTTTTATCAAGCTACTTGAGTGTTCTTTTGAAGTGTTTTTGACTAAGTGAGGATCAAGGTACGTTAGGTGGCTAGATACCTTAAAAGTGATCGATTTGAATGATTTATGTTGCTTGAATTAAATTGACTTGAATTATGGTTTATGAAATAAAAGTATGTTTAAAAGATTGGTTTTAATAATTAAATTGGAGTATTGATTTTTATTACATGTTTTGATTAAATAATTTATTATTCATGTTTAAAAAGGATTGATTTTGAAAGAGGTTGGATTTATTAAAAAGGAGTTTGGATTGTTATCATTAAAGGTTGAATTATTGGATTTAAAAGAGGATTTAATGAATCATTGATTTATTATATTATTTATGCTTTATAAGCATGTTGGTAATCCCACTATGCGGTTTTGGTTTATTGATAAGGCCTTGGACTTTTAATGACCGGGTCTTTCCTCAAGAATAGCCTTGTAACGTAAGGAGACTAGTTTGGGGTGTGCACACTTGGGAGAGGAATTGGTTTAATTGGTTTTATTGGTTTAATATGAGGAATTGGTTTTAAATAACTGGTATTGGGTTTATTGGTTATTGGAATATTGAGAATTGGTTTTGAATCATGAGTTTGGAATTATTGGATTAATTATCGGAATTAGTTTTAAAGTATGTTTGCAAATAAATTGAGTTTAATAATCTTGCACTTATCGTATTTAGCATATTTTGCTAACCCGTACTTCTTATTTGTTTTGGTTCGCCCTGTTTACCGTAAACAGTGTTATTTCAGGTGGAGTGAATAAAGTGATGCATTGGAGTCCCGGGATTTGGTTTCACTAAATTAGGAATCTTGGTCTTTGTATTTAATTTGAGTACTCATGACATTGGTTACTATTTATAGTTATTATTAATAAAGAAAGTTTTGGAGTTTCCGTTGCAAAGTATTGTTTTATTTAGTAAGTTGAGTAGCCTAGTGTAATCACGCGACGGTAATACACCCAAGTCTATCTTTACGGTATAATTATATGTATAATACTAGTATTTCCGTAGAGGGAGATTTTGAAGACATACATCAAAAGTGTCTCCTGATTTTTTTTTTTGCTATAGCAAAACTATGTGAGTGCGTACTACTACGTATTATACAAAAACGAGATATTATGGAGTATAAATTGAAACAATCAGGCCAATGGAATTTCAGAGCTTCTCTAAAACACATTCACTGATGAGATCTAATGTTGGTTACAAATCATACAGTACAATGTACTGCAGGACAGATCAATACAATTCTGGGTAGCTATCAAATTTTTAATTTCTAAAATTCATTACACAACTTGAATTCCCTACAATTTCACTGATTTCATTCCTTAATTGACTCTAGCCTTTTTTACCTTCTTCTTTGACAGAACATAATCATCTTCTGAATCTTCCTCAGAAGTTGGATCTTCTTCAGAGCTTGGAGCCTTGCGCTTCTTCGAATGTTTTGTCACAGTTGTGGTTGCAATTTTCTTCTTTTTGTCCGACGAATTCGGGGTGGAAGAAACTACTTTCTTTTTAACGGTCACAGATTTGGTTTCTTTGACTGTCGTAGTAGGTTTTGATGGTGAAGTAACTCTTTGGCTCTTACTCTTCTTCATTTTCTTCTCATATACTAGCATTGCATCCTTCAATGGAAGCAAACCAGATTCCATCATCCTGTAAATTTTATACACCAAGGTGAAAAGTTCAAAGGGTGCTACTTCCAATCATAGAAAATATAACTAAGGATACAACTACAGACTTATACAATATTAAAAAAAAAAAAAAATATATCACACACAACCAGATGTTTATAAAGGACTGACAGATACTAACACTACAGACTTATACAGAAGTGAAGACTTTGAAAGGTGCTGTAAAGACTGACAGATGTTTCTGTAAAACCTAGCAAGTTGCGACTAACTTACCTTCCATTTCCAAATACCAATATCACTAAATGTTTTATCCATAAAAAATTACTTTAAAGCATTCCTTGGTCCTCCAGAAGCTTCAATATACAACGACAAGTATATCATATCCATAAAAGAGCGTATGCTTTACAGGAATTGAAAGGGTTCTTGAATGCCGACACTCAATAGTCAACAGATGGTTGGCAAAGTACTCTAAGAACATAAATTATAGCTTTAGTGAACTACAAAAGAACGCAGTTCCCTTCCGTGATTCTTGAGAAGTTTAAACAAATACAAATAATGATGTCAGGAGCAATTTACATGACATCATTAAATCCTACAAGTCTAGGGTAAGAATCTACAATGCATCTTATATTCTAACAGCATCTAGGGACAGCAATCAGAAATCTCTCAAAAGTTTAACTGTGTGTTTGAGAAGAGTTTTTCTTATATCAATTAGCAATTTGACACCATTACTAAATGTAAAAAATACTGTGCAATGAAAGAGAGTCTAATAGATACAGGGTTAAGTGGTTTTCAAAGATAATGAAACTAGGTTCTTGTTTTGTTTTAAAAGAATTATCCCTGAATACCTTTTACACTATCTTAATCATTATACCTGTCCTTTAACATAAACTTATGCATAACAGCTAGCTCAGCCATGGATTTTGCATTTTTGTGGAACAATACGCACAAATAGCAAGTTACCAACTACTAACAATGACAGACAAGTGAACCAACAGGTTAAAAAACAGCCTACTTATAAGTGTATAACTGGTCTTTTCAGACTACGAACCTTTGCATATAATATAGCGGTATAGCCAGCCTCATGTTCATGAAATCTGTGTATCACATAACAAAATCTTTACAAATGGTTTAAAAGCCCTGAAGTGCAGTAAGGAGATGCAGGGACATGGAGCTTTGGCATGAGAGGAGATATGAACGTTCTCTCCTAGGTAGAGTGAGGAACATGATTGCACAGTGGAACATAGGATTTATAAAAAGAAAATAACTCAAAATTTTGCATAATGAATATGAGCTACAAGTAATAAAGATCACACAAAAGAATGAAATTGTAATCCTTTGTAAGATAATTTATTTAGACAAATCAGAGATATTTACGCAAAATTTGGAAATCGTAAAACTTTTGCTTCAGTTCCACAGCAACTCCAATGTTTTCATAACTTAAATTAAGTTGCAGACACATATACCCATAGAGTGATTAAAGGGATATGAAGTAAAAGATTAATGCTTTGGCTATGTGCCAAGGTAGAGGGTGCAGATAGAGGAAATCAAGTGTAGACATGATCAACAGATACCCAGAAAGTTGAACTTCGTGTGTACCAATGAATTATAACAAGATGATTGGATATATATAGAGTTCATCTCAACATGAGCAGGAGTTTTCAATTAAAAGGATCCTCCACAACAAAATTCTGTGTTGACCAGAAGATTTGATCATTAGATGTATCACCCAAAATACACACAACCCACTGGACAAGAGCTAATTCCATATATTGAGCAGAATAACATAAGTTCAGAACACTAAAAAAACATGGATTTAGTTAACATCATTCAATTTGAAATTTGAACAAGATAACAACAGATGACCATTAGAAGAGTCAGAATACAAATGTAGAAGGGGAACTTCAGCAATATCAGGATACCACAAGATAGATCTGATTCTGAACAAATTAAGAGCCATCATTCTATTGAACACTAAAAACTTAACAAGCTTGAAGTTTGAACGCATGGAAACCATTACAATGCTTTTTCCAACTAGACATTGATGTCACCTTAGAGACACTGGCAAGAACCTTACAAATATCATAAACTCTAAAATTACAAAATCCAAGTTCTACAAAAGCAGAGTCATTATGTGCAAGGAGCCAAGGATAATTACGTGTAAATAGACCGCCTAAATTTTCCCTATCATTACATTGTCTAATTTTGAAGAGTATCCTTGCTCATTCACCATTCAATTCATCCTCGAGTAAATTTGAATCTTTCCACTATTAGATAATCCCATAACAAAGACACAACAACACATTAAAAATTTTCTCAAATGATCATCTTTAGCCACACCTTTTTCCAAACAAAGAACACCTATAATTTAATCAGCAAGGTAACACTTGTTCTAGATTGAAGAAGTGCATTCCATTCATGTAATTTCCTACTTTTCAAATTTCATATGAATAGATAAGAATTCATAACTATTCAATTTCCAACCATCAATTAAAAAGGATAATGAAAACACAAATCCCTTCAATATAAATGAATAAATTCTCACCAAATTGCAGCCAATTCACTGGTAGGTATTTGCTGATACAATGTCTCATAAAATATCCTCAAAGGATCTCTCTGAAAATAACAAAATCACCACATACTAATCACACATTGCTCCCATTATATTTTATAAAATCATTCTAAATAATAAAAACAATAATTTAATAAATTTAAAAAAATAAAATATACTTCTTCAGGAGGGTCGCGTTTTTGCCCAGGCAATTCATACACTTTTCTCTCTCTCTTCTTCACTTCAACCTTCTTCACCTCCTCCATTTTCTTCTTTATTTTTTTCTACAAACCAAGAAAAAAAAAATCAAAATTACAACAAACCCAGAAAAAAAAATCCAATAAACCCAGAAAAATACATCAATATTACAACAAACCCAGAAATTAAAAAACAAATCCAAAATTTAAACAAACAAAACAAAAAGTCACAATCATCACAAACCCAGGAAAAAGAACGAAAATGCAGATAAGAAATTGAACAGGAGAGAGAAACCTTGTCATCTTTAGCAACAACCTTCTTAGAAACAACAAAATCATCTTCCTCTTTTTTGGGTTTGGTAGATTTAGGGGTTAGTTTAGTGGGTTTCTTCAAAGGAGCATTATCATCGCTTGAATCATCATCAACTTGTTCTTTTTTCGTCACTTTAGGTTTCTGCTTAAGAGTCGCAGTTGCAGGAGAATTACTGGGTTTTTTGTTCTTATTGCGAACAGCAGAAATAGGCTTTTCATCATCATCTTCTTCATCTTCAATCTGCTCCTTTTTCAATGGTTTTGCGTCTTCTGAAGGCATTTTTGTTCAATTCAAACCCAATTTGAGGAGAGAGAATTTGGGAATGGTGAACAAGGGTTTAAGATTTTAAGGCTCTAATTGTTAATGGTGAAATTTTTTTAAGGACTTGAGAAAATACAGGTGCCAAAAATGTTACCAGTTTAGAAATTCTGGGTTTGGGTTTACAAGATAATGTTGATAATAAAATCCCATTGGACTGGTTGTGTAATATCTGGGCTTATTGGTCATGTATAGAGGTGGGCTTTCTCCCGTATTTGGGAATATGTAAATTGTTAAATGTTAAGGCAATATCTTCTTTATTAAGTCCTTTTAATAAGGCCTAATGGGTTAGGTCTTCTCAAGTCAAATTCAAGGATCCATTTTGGTGCCCAAATAAAATGTAATTATGACATTAAGAACTTTAATTTGGAACTCTTCTAAGTAGGAATGACATTCTAGTTCGAATCCGCCCCTAATCCGATCCGATTTGAAGAAAATAATTCGAACCGAATTCGAGAAATAATAATCCAAATCCGACTTCGTTTGAAAAAACCGACTCCGACTCGAAGGAGGGTCGGAGTCGGAGTCTACTTAGAGTCCGACTTATCCAATCTGACTCCGACCATTCTGTGTACTTATATACTTCGTATATTTTATTATTCAATTTATGAATTTATAGGTCTTTGAAGTTGACTATATATGGGTTGCTATTGATAATCAAGTCAAAATTAAATTTAAAGTCGGATTCGGAGTCGAATCGGGTCGGAGTCGGAGGTTGAAAATTTAAGTCGGATCGGAGTCAGATGTCAGAGTCGGAGGTAGATTAAAAATCCGATATCTTGTAGGGTCAGAGTCGAATTTTACACAATCCGATCCGATCCGACCCATTGCCAACCCTACTTTTGAGTCTTTGGACTACATTTTGCATGTAATTTAGGGTCAGTTTAAATAGGGGTGTTAAATACCTCCATCCAGATTTATCAAAATCGCCATCATTTTAAGCAAAGTGTATTATTGTTTATACTAAACTAACCCTGGCCTAACCCATTTTTTTCTCCTTTTTTTTTCTCTCATCAAACACCCCAACCACCAACCTTTTTCCACACAACCACCACAACCACATTGTAGAGGTTACCGATAGTTGTTGGTGGCGGCGGAAGACGGCGGTGGCACGGAGCCAGACGATTAGGTGAAGTTCAAGAGGTGGCAGAATGGCCGGAAAGAAGGTAAATTTTCTGATAATAGAATTATTTTTTAGTTTTAAGTTTTTTTTATATAAATCGGTGGCTGGTAACTGGTTGCCCGTTACTGATAATAGACGACCAAATCAGGTAAACAACGACCAGTAACCGGTGGTCAAGAAACCGGTGGTCAAGAACGATTGACCATCGCGACCAACCGGATGATATAGAAAATTGATGCTACAAAAGTGAAAATCACTTTTTCTAATTTTGTATTTTTCAAAATAACACTAGAAACAAAATTGGTTGGACAAAAATTATATTATGTGATAAAATGAGCATGGTCCCAAGTTAATGTTTGAGAGAGTATACTAACGAGATATATGTTGCTAAAAACTCTTTTTTTTAAGTACTTGTTTTTGTTCTCGTGCAATGCAGGGCTTTATAAAGTAAGACATATTAATAATTATACTTGATTGAAATTAAATAGACTTAATTGAAACTAAATGACTTAAAGCTTGTTTGGCATCATTTTTGGTTTTCAGTTTTCTATTTTTTTGAAAACCAAAAACCAAAAAAGGAAACAAGAAAAAGGTGTTTCCACTTTTCTGTTGTCAGTTTTCAAAATTATCATGATTTTAATAAGTCTATATATTTTTTGATTCATTATGTGACATATATAATACACTTTTAAAAAACAAAAAACCAAAAAACAGAAAACCACAGCGATGCCAAACAAACCCTTAGGTATTGTTTTTTTGTTTTTATTTTTTATTTATTTTAACAAAAAACCAAAAAAGGAAACAAGAATTTAGTGTTTTCACTTTTTTGTTGTCAGTTTTCAAAATTATCATGATTTTAATAAGTTTGTCTACTTTTTATGTCATTTTATGAAATATACCATATGGGTTTGAAAAACAAGAAACTAGAAAAAAAAGAAAACCACAACAATGTCAAACATAAGAATTTTATTTATTTTCATATTTGAATTTATTAATTTTTATCTTTTAAATTCTTATGTATTGCATACTATATATATAAATAAAATTTATTAAAATTTTTTTAATTATTAAATAGAATTGTTTTAAGAAAATAAATAAATAGTTAGCATTTTGGAGGGAAAATTTTTCACAAAATTATGCCAAATGTCCCTTTAGTGATTACTTTAGTATATAGTATAGATGTCCCACCTAGTTCACCAGAGCTTAGCTCGTCTAAATCCGTATTCGACTAGAGTTACACACCTGGTTTATGGTAGGTGAGTCTCCTAACAAGAGTTTTTGCATTTGTTGAGGCTCGAATTTGAGATCTCCCTTAAGGGACATCAAGCTGCATACAACTTGAGCGAACTCTTGTTAATTATGTTACAATTAAACTAGTCGTCCATGAAGTTAGGGCCGTCAAACGAGTCATATCGTGTCGGGTTTGTGTTAATATATATTAAACGGGTTTATAATCCTTTGACCCAAAACTAACCCATTTATTAAACGGGTTGAAAATCCTTGACCCAAACCTAACCTACTTATTAAATGGGTTACTTGGGTAACCTTTTTCCCACTTACTTTATTAATTCATACAAGAGACTGTTGGTAAAAATACCTGTTGATTGCAATAACAAAAATAGAGAAGATGAAAGGGAAAATACTTGATTGAAGATCTCAAACTCACAGTCGCGCCGTGGAACAATAATCCACTACCTTAGAAGTGAAATACGCCACCACCGGTACAGGTTTCCTGATGACGCACGCCCCCCAAGTTTAACGCAACTCTCCCCGTAATTCGTGCACCCGAACCCGAAGAGTGGAATTGCTCAAAAGCTGTTCAGATCTCAAAAGGTAGGTTTTTGTTTTCGGCTAGAAAGTGAATAATTCTCATGAAAAGGCAAGGCTCATATTTATATAAGTCTCGGAAAAAAGAAACACGCAAAGCAAACCGACCTAGGAAAAAAGGCGGGCCCGATCGGGCGAGATGCCGCCCGATCGGGCGCGAGATTAAGTTTCTCCAGACCTGGTGTCGCGCCCGATCAGGCGAACACCGCCCGGTCGGGCGATCTAGAAACCCCATCCCGGGCGAGCCATCGGGCGAAGCCGCCAGATCGGGCTCGTCAAAAACTCGAGTCCGCCGCTCGGTCATGCGAGGGCCGCCCGATCGGGCGCGAGAGTTTTCCTATTTTCCTTAGCCACCTCCGCCCGGTCGGGCGAACCACCGCCCGATCGGGCGAACCACCGCCCGATCGGGCGCGAGAATAAGTTTGCATTACCTATTTCCAACAATCCCCCACTAATGCGAGCGGATCTTCAACATGAAATCTGAACAGTAAATGAAAGTCTTAGTACTTAAATGCTAGTATCCAAAGGTTTGAACTAACACATTAGTGCACAAGGTTTTCAACACTTCCCTAGTGAGTATCATAAGATTTGAACTCCTAGGAGCGAGGAAGGGACCTTGAATACACATACCTTGACTTTAGAGCTTAAGCAACTCCGCTAATCTTGGCCTACACCTTGGGCTCTCATGAGTACTTCAGGAAAACTACACCACAATTTTCCCTTGAAGGAGGCCACCCCTCGTACTCACGTAGGTGTTCCGTCTGTGTATAAAATACACATTCCCAGCACATCTATAGTCTTTCTTTGCAGGCTTAAAACACATTCAAGCACCTTGCAAACCCAAGATTTTATGTGCAATGGAATAAGAACATTAAGAACGAAAAGTTCAATCCTATCAACTCGTCGGTGCATCTATTAATCCACTACTCAACGAGCTCTTAAGCTAGATGCATTAAGGGATACTCCCAACCTCAGTCATTCGGTACCACTATCGTTCCCTACTCGAGTAGTAACTGGGCTAGTGATTCTAAGTCATTTAAGGATCACTATTGTTCCCTACTCTCAAGCAACTGGACTAGTAGTATTAAGAGCAAGCAATGCTCAACCTTCCACCTTCGGTGTCTTATCAATCCTACTCTAAGAGCCACTGGGCTAATGGTCTTAAATCCACTTAAGAACATTATCAATCCCTGCTCAAAGAATAACTGGACAAATGACATTAAGAGCCACGCTCAACCTTACTGAATCCACCTGATCAACAAACCACTGAAAAAGGTTATAGATTCAATAAACATAAATGGTGTAAATCCAACAATGAGTCAACCAAAACAAGGCTCTAGACCCATTCAGAACAAAAGTTCAATAAATTAAAATACTTCGGTGTGTCCATGTAAGCTGTCTCAATTGACCACCCAATCTGGGTTATGGACATATTAAGAGCACTTAAAGCTCAACTTGCAAACATCAAGAAACAAGTCTACCAAAGCATCTCAGAACCATATAAATTAGAGGGTTATCAAGCCAGATCACTTCAGGACGTAGACTCAATTTTTTAAACTTCGTCACTAGAATAATTTAAAATACCCCACATGATCTTAAATATATTCTCTTAGACAATCAAGCACTTACCTGTGCTTCATCCTAGTATAAGGGCCTTCTTGATTCTTCTTTGCTTTCACGTACTCTAACATGAGTATCATCTCCACAAGATCTGTCTAACTTTGTCACTACATCTGTAGTTCCTGACAACATACATAGACACTTGTGAAAAGTAATGTAGAGAACATGAGGATCAACTTACCCCCACAATGGACAAACTTCCAGAGATTGATTTTTGCAACAATCATCTTCTTGACCACGTCATCCAATCTAATGAACCTTTGCTTCATAATGGATAGTGTACAACAATTTGTTTTGTAGCTCACTCGAAACAGAGCACCACCCTTCATCATGTAATAATCATACACTGAAGAGGTTCAACTAATCATCGTTGTTCATTCAATCATTGTCTCTTATAATTTACTGGATAGGTACTTGAGAAACTTTCTCACTTTAACCTTCATCCCTGTACTCACTGAAACTCAAACAATAATTGAGTAATTCTCTCTTGACAAACAGAATGAACAATATAGTTTACAACAAAACCACTACACGTCAAGAATAGTTT